GAACGCGATATTAGGCCTCGTTATAATAGCGGTATACAGGATAAAACCGATTATACCCTAGTACTAACGGACCTCGGGAATTAACGCGCGTATACCATCGCGGGGCGTTACCGGCTCTATTATTAATAACAGGACCTTTAGTAGTTTTCGGCAGAGTATATCTACGCAGTATTTAACCGCGATCTTCTCTATGTAGAAGGATTATAATAGCTATAACCTACGGGTGGCTCTATCCCTTAGGACCTTAATTCCTAAGAACTAACGGATGTCTTCGCCTCCTAATAACCTATAGCTTCGCTTAAGGGCAGCCTCGAGGTTATCGGTATTAGTCTTATAGTCTTTATAGTATATAGGTCCGATATCGTCGACGTAGAAGAATAGGATTAAACCGTCGCGGATTATAATATAGGGGTTATTAGGTATAGCCGTGAATCCTATCCTTTATAGCGTGCCGCTGAATTCCTCTTACTATAGTAGTAGCGATACCCTTACGCCAAAGAGGGCTTTCCGTAGTAGTAGTACCTTACCTAGCACTTTATAGCCTTACGGTATCTTTATAAACACCTCTTCTTTAAGGCTAGCGTTAACGAACGTATTAATAGCGTCGAATTACCTTATCTCTAGGTTAAATCGGGCGGCGATTACTATTAGCATACGAAAAGACCGCGAGGCTAGCATTATAGCGTAGTTATCTTTAGTCTCTAACCGTTTTTATTAATCCCCTCGCACTATAAGGCGTGCCTTATATTTAAGGAGGGTGCCTTCCTTATTAAATTTATAGGTGTATACCTATCTATAGGCGAGGACTTATTACTTATTAGCCTAATCACCGCGGACCTTCTACTAGCAGCCTATCTATTAGTGCCCCTTAAGGTATTCCCCCTTAGCCTATAACCACCGCTCCTATAACGGGTATAAGCGTATATCGCGGTAGTGGTTTAGCGGAGACGGGAGATCCTCGCGGGTTAAACACGATAGGGAGGCGTTAAAGAGAAAGAGATCTATAGTATTAGCGCCGATAGCGTTACCGTTATTAATAGCTTACTTCCTCCTACGTATAGGGTTATAAGTCCTTCTAGCGTTAAAGAATGCCTTCTAGGCGTTATCATTCTACACTTTCTCGGTCTTATAGATACTTACGATAGAGAGGCGCGCGGGTAATAGGCGCGTAGCCGACGGGCACCCCCTAAGGGTATCCCCGGCTATCCGTTAATGGTTATCGTGTTCTTCTACCTTAACGCCCCTAACCACCGCTAACGCTATAAGGAACGCGCGCGCGGAATTTTCCGGGGATATTAAAGGCGTAGGAAACGGTTTAGACCTTATAGTAGTAAACCGTAAAGTATCCGTAGTAATAGCGGTAGCCTCTCCCGTAGTAATAGCGGTAGTATAGTCTTCTCCTATAGTAATAGTAGTATCCGTAGTAATAGCGGTGCCTATAGTAATAGCGGTAATATAATCTATAATAATAGTAGTAGCCTCTCTCGTAGTAATAATAACGGCCTTGCCTTTATCCGTAGTAATAGCGGTAGCGTCGCTTTTACCCGTAGTAATAGCGGTAGCATTAGAGTCTTCCGACTTAAGATCTAATACGTCTACGGCTATACCCCTTAATAGTAGCCTATTCGCGGTCTTATTAGATTAAGTAATACGGATAGATTATAGGCGTTCCCTGATTTCCTCGGCGGAAGCTATAGCTTATAGCGTTTTAATCCAACTATCGAATATCTTGTCTTCGTTAAAGACCACGTCTCTTATAGTAATAATATCCGTTAAGTATAGCAGCTAAATACGGGAGCTATTTAAGGATTAGTATCTAATATAATAATCGATCTATACCTTCGGTTCTAGCCTTTATAGGCGGTTTCTTTTAGCTTATATATCGCGCGTTTTTATAAAGGCTTTATAGCCGTAAGCTTATAGGTGCATAAGGTTAGGTTAATAGCCGCGCAGGCCTTTATATAGCGTCCGCTAGTTATTAATATATCGTGGCGTCCTATTATATAGATATATAGTAGTCTTAAAGATCTTAGGCTAGATAGATATAGGCAGATTAGCTCTAATCCTTATAGC